TGTACTACCTGTACCTACACAAAATCAAATTTTAAGCTCCAAGCGAGAAAAACATAATTAATATTGGACGTGTTGATGACGATGAGAATTGAGAACCTATAATATAGTATGAAACTATATAGTAAGCTTTGCCTTTAACTTGGACCTATATAACACACTGCTGGGTCTCTCGTCATAATTTTGGAAAACATATTTGGATTCGTTGCAACATTTACTTGAAATCGACCTACTTACATTTCTTTGATCAATTATATTGCTTACATTTTTAAGTTCTCAATATTCAAAATTTAAAAATCTAATTTAGAAGGATTTAGGCTCGAATTTAGGATTTAAACTGTTTAGAGTTAAACTTTAAAAAAGTGGAAAAGTTATTTTAAAGTAAATTTTATGAAAATTTTAAATGTATTTTCAGAAGTTGTATCGAATGATTTTATGAATATTGGTACAGATGAAATAATATAAGTCTATTCAGGTAGAAAACACAGACAGAATTTAATCGCCTTAATATCAAAAACTTGGGATTATTTTTTATTTAGAAGGAGATGGACTAAAGATTGCTTGGTTGCAACTTATAAAAGCATCATGACGTTAAAGTAAACACAATTATACATTTATATGTTCGTATAATACATTTATAACTTTACTATAATACTTCTCATGTATAGGAAGGTATACTAGGTACTTCAATATGAAACAAAACTGAAAACGATAAGAGTAAAAGACATATTCAAAATGTAATTTAAAGGCTGGAACCCCGATTTCAATTTTAGGTTTTTGTACACTTTTGAATTTACTTTTCAAACTTAGTATCAAACAAATCTATAATTAGAACATAACGACAAGGCAGATATGTTTGATGTATTGCAATAACCTCTATGGTTACGGTTCGTATGATGATTAAATAATGAGTATGTATACACATCACAGAGTAGGTACTTTATTATAGACTACGGTATTATACATAATATGTAGGTATGCATTATACAGTCATATAAATATTGTATTATGTACTATAACGTGGATAAAGACTTTTTTTCGCAGATGATGGACTTGGTACACTTAAAAAACAAAAAATGTAGTAATCTCTTGTTTTATTAAATACCTAATAATAATAACAGGGTAGGGGTCACAAGAGTATTTGACAATTGTACACTGAAATATAATTAAAATACGTAAATCTGTACTGCATATTCCAACTTTCTGATATTCCTTGTACGAGTATATTATATACATATATATTTTGCCCGTTGGCAGCTATATATATATATGAGACAATAGTCTCAGTCATTGAATTTAACTTTTAGTCTAAACGTTAAATGATTATAAATGTTATTCGAAATTAATATTTTTTTTCTCTTAGTAGTTATAGGCAAATAAATATTTCATTATAATACATAGATACTATAACTCTAAAAATACATGCACTTATCATTCAAAATAATAGTATATAATTGTTTAATTTTAGCTTCTAATAAGTTAAGACGGTAAAAATATATTAAACGAGATGAGTATATTATAATAATTAGGTAGGTACCCACTATTAGTTTAATTTGACTACCTACTATGCTATAATAGATATTCAACGTAGGTTTAGCTGGTTTATAAACCCGATGGGTAACAAGGCACGATACATTAAAACGTTAAATTGTCAAAAAAATATAAAACAATATTGGCCTCAAATATTTTTTATAAGGAAATAAAATCGTAAAATTAAAATGTTTAACTGCAGTTACAGAAAGGGACTGTGAAACTATTAATACTTACGTTGAATTTGATCCTACACTGCAATACACAATTAAAATTGTAATATTATTTACTGTTTGATTATGTTTGTGTTTTTTTTTTACATTTTACATTTATTCACTCGCGAAAGAGACCACGAATAGATTTATACTTTATTCAGTCCGGTAGACTTTTTTGGGAATTTACAGGATTAAAAAGTATTGTTGAGAAAGTGAAATTTTGTAAATGTACAGACACTCGATTAAATATTTTGTAAAGTAATGTCATCTTCGTACCTTCGCAAATGGCATATCAACCAAAATGATTTCATTTCGAATTCCATGACTCAATTTAAAGAGTACATTAGGACATTTATTTTGTCTAGACTCTAGAGCAATGTTCAATATTCATTTGCTACAACGGTATGGGCATAGCAATACTACATGACATATATTATAGTACTGGCACTGTGCAGGTATTCGTATTTTGTTGTTTATATTTATATTTTTTTTATTTCTTGATCAATAGAATTAAACTGGTATGGTTATTACTATATATTATAAAATGTAGATATGTAAGTACCTGTTTAAATTCATCCAATTTCAAAAAAAAAAACGTGACATTTGTTTTCGTGCCATTAGGGATTGGATAAATGGGTTTTTCATAACATGGATGTTTTGGTTGTAAATATAAAACTATTCTAAATATTTCTATATACATTATATAGTATATATATACATCAGTCGTTATAAAGGAATTCAGAAAATTGCTACTTATTCATTATCCATTAGTAAAAAAGCGATCAATCCTGTTTGGTGATTTATGTCTTACAGTAATAATAATTAATGAGTGATATTTTCGGGCCAGACGTTTTTTTAAAAATTATTTTTCTTAATGGTGTTTAGAATAGCAACAGCTTAGATTCTCAGTGAAAAAATTGAAATACAAATTATATTGGTCTTACCACGATTTTATAGTTTATTTTTTTTTTAAGTGAGCGTTTTTCCCGGGCTGAAGGAGTCTTCAAACAGATTCAATAATAGTGGTAGTAAGTACATAAAATAGTAGCACCTTTAAAAATAGGAAATCGAATGTGAATAGTACTTTAAAAAGGTCCTTTTAGTTCAATAAAATGCATCGAAAACCTTGGAAAAACTAACAACGAATGGCCCTCGAAATACGTTCAATCAATTCGTAATTTATTGATTTCATTAACATTTAATTAAATGTCATCTCAACTATTCACAATGAACAAATAATCTAAGCCGAGATGAGCGAAGTGATACACTCATATTATGATGGTTTCTTTTATAACTATTGAGACTATAAACGTTCACCCATAACAACCATTTGTATACAGACTACAGAATATTATTTACTGAGCATAGGGTTCAATCCAATTTTTTCTTTTACAATGCATTTATTATTTATATTTATATTTAAGGACCATATTTTAAAAATTTCAAATAGGTAAGTACTTAGATTTGTATCTTGTGCCACACAAGCCTTGAGACAATATAAACATAAATACATAATTTTATGTGAATCAACCTCTTTAATTATGCAGATGATGTTTTTAAGCATTTAAGTGTACCTATCTAAATCAAAACGTCTATTATCAAAGACTATTTATATTTTACTCACACAAATTAGAACATAAAATTCGATAACTGTGAAACTATTCATACGAATGTCAATTTACCTATACATACATATAAAATTATTTAAATATTCACAAAAATAACGGGTTGTAATTAGAAAAAAAGAAAATTATATTACACACGGGACACTTATTACTTATCAATATTATATTATATTTATTAAATATCAATTAAATTATTTGAAAATATAGTCTTAAAGTATAACTGTAATTGATCATTCCAAAAGTTAAATGTGAATAAATGCATCATTGAAGTGAATAAAATAGGTGATTGGTGATTCGCCATGTATTGTGGCCGGTATTCCTTTATAGACTATAAGTACACACATAATATGGGAAAATTATAAATAAAGAAAAAACTATAAATGTACTAAATTGATTGATGTTTGAAATTTTGAACGACTCACTCGTAAAATTTGATATTTTTGATAGTCTAATTTTAGCATCTTACATAAGTCATCGAATTTTAGTTGTACCCATAGGCAAAAAAAAGGCTGACACCGGACGTTCGAAAAAAATAAAATAACAATTTCGTACAAAATGGTTAATCGACAATATTGTTCAAGCATTATGTTTATTCAGTCTTTCAAATACTATTGTACTCATCTATTATAGGTGTATAATTATGTAGGGTATTTAATTATTTTTTAGGTACCTATATATTAGGCACCTAATTTTTACAATGAAAATAGTTGTAATATAGTTACATTGAAAAATCTTGTTTTAATAAATTATCATTGGTCTTAATATAATGTACCTATATAAAAATTAAAAACATAGTATACGAGTTATACTAGTTGTCGGATTTAGTAATAACAATATAACAGTGAAAGTATACAAATGTGAATAATAATAAATAGTAAAAAGTATATAATTATAATAAAAGAATGTTATCAATTTACAAGTAACTCGTGACGTTGCGCACCCGTGTGTTAAAATAATAATTATAAATTATCACAATAAACAGAATAATTTACAACAAAAAAATTTCGATTTGAAAGGTATTCGAATAAAATAAAAGTGTTTTAAATGTCCTAAAAATATTTTGAATAAATTATTAGGTATTAACCATATTTATATAGTAATATTATAAGCGCGCGTATCTAAAACCTAATTTATTCAAATAGTTTTTCGTGTGAGATTTTGTTCGTTAATTTAAACAAAAAATCTATAAGTTTTTTAAAAAATGCAATATTATGAAGAAAGGATGTAAACTACGTGTACTGTGAAATAAGAATAGAAAGTCAAAAAATCAAAATCAAATAGCAATAATAGCATACAAGCTCGCCGTCGGTATTACTATACCGATATCCGTCCGTCGATCAACAAACAGCTGAGTGAACGCGAATGTTCTCGTAAGGTAGAAAAATTCACGAGTGTTTCACATTTTCACAATAATAATAACGAATAAAAATGATTATTCCCAATACGACATAGGTAGTTAATTTTTTTATAGTTACAATACCACAATTAGGTATTATAATTAGGTACCTATATTATACACGAAGAAGGGTCGAATCTTAACGTGCGAGATGGTCCCTATAATGATAGGCATCGGTTGGAAAGAATCCAAGAAAAAAATATTCTAAAACAATTGTTAAAATAAAAATCGTCTTACCATTGTAGTGGGCGAGTGGAAGACGTCTGTCGAGGAGCGCATGTCGAACGCGTTGAGTGCGGCCGACTGACGAGGCATGAGACCTGCTGCTGCCGCTGCTGCTACTCGCGTCGCAGTGACGGCCGTGTAATCCGCGCGAGATCTGTCGGGGAGGCCGCTGACCGCCTGTCTTGGACCGCAATATTATTGTTATTATTTTTATCAGTTATCAGTTATCACGAGCTATATGGGTAACTAATTCTATATTGCCAAAAATAACAATAATATTGGCGAGAGACCTCGACGACGTTACGATAATGATAATATTATTATTATTATTATTATTATGGTCGCTGTGCGGTGTACAGCGACGACGACAAGCGAACCGGCGACAGCCCGCGTATACCACGGTAGGTGTATAATGCGATTAGGTAGGTACCGCAAACGGATACGCGGTAGCTGCTGCAGCGAATAGAAATCGCTGCCGACAAACGCGCACTACTGCAGCTGCAGCTGCTGCAGTCGTCGTGCAGATTTTCGATGATTTAATGTTTTTATTAAACCCGCGGACGAGGGCTGTTTCGTATACTCGTGGGGATAATGGACAATAGTGATAATAATATTGTTCGAGGGGGCTGCGAGACGACCGACGACAATGACAGTAATAATATTATTATCACGTTTTTAAGACGACACGGGACGATCTGAGACGGTGCGCTCTACGGTATTCGCGCGGAGTACTGCAGCTGCAAGTGAAAGTAGGTAGGTAGGTACCTCGGACGCACTCGGCACTGACCCTCCGCTGCCGCCGCCACCGCCGCCGACAGGTATCGTGCGTACAATAATAATAATAATATTATTAATGTTGTTGTTGTACCTACTCGCCGCGGAAAATAATAATAATAATAATATGTGAAACTGTGAAAGTACCCGATTCCCGCCCGTGTACAAACATTGTTATACCTACCTGTATTATATATTATTATTATATTACCCATGCTTACTGTCTCGGCGGCACATTAGTGACCAGAGTGTGGCGATAATAATATTATCATTATACACGCACGACGACTCAAAGACCCACGCATTAAAAATCATACAAGTGTCAACAGCTTCACTGCACTATCATCTCGAGACGTAGGACCGTCTGCACTTCAACATCACGCTCATAAGGACGTCATCGCGACATAAGTATTAATTATGACATTTATATCTACAGTCTTCGTAGGAAGTTTTAAACTATACCAATGAATAACTTGCCTTTAGCTACTATTATTAACACAGCGCAAGCTAGGAATATTATTTTGTATAACATTGTAATATTTAAAAATAAAACAATTGCAAATGGTGTCTCATAATAAATTATGTACCTATACACGGTCTAGTGGATAAATGTGGACATTGCAAACACTGACCGGGTGAAGCCGAGTCGTTCAGCCCATGTAGATAATTATGCATGTATTATAAACAAATGTATGCAATGGCTAGTACTGAAAGTGCCAAGTGAACCAACTATACAAGTCCCGTGCTACCCTTTTCTTGACATTATTCGCACTAATTCGGGTATTACCGAGGCCCTTGTAACATTTTTATATTTATTATTGAACTCGTGTTTAAATAAATTTTATATTTTAAAAACAACACGCACAGTTTGAGTGGACATGTTTTCTTGCCATATTAAATATTTTTAAGGATATTTTTCTAATTTAGAGTTTTAATTGCAATTTACAGGCATAATATTATATGAAAACCAAATTTCATTGAAAAAAAAGATTTTGGATCAAACACATCGGACACGTTCATATGAACATTTCTGTTGTTATTATCTGTTATTATCGATCACACCGGACTATTCCGTTCGTTTCCAATAATTTAGTTATTTTTGAAATCGTATCAAATGTTCTGCAATTATCGAATTTGTCGTATTTGCGTAGGACTACCACAGCGTTATCGTCGTATACTCGTATTACCTGACTATGAACACACACAATTATTTTATTTTATTTTTCCTCCATAATTTTGATGTGTTGCGTCTTGCGTTAATAGTTAACTACTGAAACACACTATAGGTGTTACTATACGGCTATATTCCAGTGTTTTGATATTGATTTTTCAAAATCATTTAAAGCATCTTTATGCCTGAAGTAAAGTAAAGTTGATCAAATCGGCTCCAAACTTATGTTAATGAATTTGGTTCCAATATTTTTTCAATTGATTCTAGTGTAGTTACAAGTTTAAAACTATATTCATTTTGTTACCAAAAACCAACCACAAAGTAAAAACACGAGAAAGTGGTTAACGCTCTGCTGTACATAGATGCCTAGGGTGTCACTGTAATGGATGTGTTAAATTTGAATTTAAAATAAGAAAATCACAACTTGACAATTCGAGTAAATATTCAATGTTGTAAAAATTTCAACTTCAAACGCTCATAAAAATGTAATTTGACTTTCTGGTAGAAATTCTTTATTTGATAAAGGTAGGCAAACTTGTAAGGCATCTTGCATTACATTTTTAAATCTTAGATATAAGTTTCTCCTCTGTGTGATAAATAAAATCCTGACTAAGAACATCAATGCTTCATACTAAAGGTATGTCAGTATAGCATATTAATTATAATGTACATTGAAAATGATATAACAAAAAAATATTAAGAACGAGGATATTTTAATTATACTCGTTAAATGTTTTATTATTAAAAATAGAAATATTTTATTAAAATATAATTATCAATTATGGTTATTAATTTAAAGGGGAATTCCGGTGACCTTCGCATTTTTTTTCTTTAAGTGAGCTATACAGTTCTAACCATAAACTAAATTTTTTTCGTAACATTACAGTTTAGACTGTGTAATTTGTACCATGCAATTTTTTGTATTTTTTGCATTTCATGTGTTAAATGCATTTTATTAGATTTTTAAGCTCATTTTTACAAATATTTAGTTCATTTTGTATATTTAAACTAATTTTTGTTTATTTTAAGTTTTTTTAATATGTGTTGTATAGGTGGTAATCTCAAATAGTACCTATGGTACCCTTGTGAAAATAGTACCTTTGAACTTATATCTACAAGACACCATAATATTATCGCTGTTATACTCGTTTTCGATAAAATTATTGTCACCTGTCCGAGAATCGGGAAAATTGAAACTATATTAATAAAATAATATTAAAAATATTTTAAAACTGTTATTATATTTGTCGCAAACTGAGTTGTCGGCGATTTGGGGTTCGGCAAAGTGGGTATGAATCGAAAAAGTAGTATAGTTAATTGTAAATTAATTTTTTTTAGATTTTTTAGGCCATTTTTGCACTTATTTTAGTGCATTTTTGTGTATTTTTTAGGTCATTAAAATCCTAGTTCTAGTTATTATTATTAAATGTTCTTTATTCATTGTCGTGTGTTTTAGTATAATCATATCCTTATTAGCAATGCATTATAGCAGGTACCTGGTATAGTATACTAGTGTTTTGGGTAGGAACTATGGGGGGTGTGGCAGTGTGGGTCACTTTAGATTTTATTCTTCTAGTCCCCCCCCCCCCCTAAAAATGCAATCAAATATCAGCGTATGTAACGGGCAGACTTCAGAAAGTGCAATCAACAATTTTGATTAAATATTTTTTCATACCGTGGTACAAAATTCACCTATCCGAGTTATATGGACCACTTGTGCAGGTGCCAATTCTAAAGACGTACACCCATAGTAAATAATGAATTCTTTGCAAAAACGCATCCATCTATATTGTGCAGAAGTTGGATTAAGAATAGAATACCGCAGCCATAGATTTTGACATTTTGTGTAGCGCAATATCTATCGCAGGGAAAACATTTTTCCCACAATTATGACACGAAAATTGACTGAGAAAACGAGTCAAGTTGTAAAAAAATTCTCCCTATGATGTTTGAATATTTATAAAATGATAATAATATGTTTGTGATGTAAGCAAAAAAACAGTGACCGCGGTCTTGATGTGTATGTGAAAATGTTAAATGAGCGCTAGCGTCCTTGTCATTATACACGGTGAAAATAGTAAACAGGAAATTTTACTCCGATCGAAAGGTGTTTTTTTCACCGCACTATATACGGTTTACCGCTTTGCCACACATCTGTATTATTACAAAGCGATGTGCTCGTAGTAACGATATTATTAAGTATCTTCACTGCAGTATTATGCAGGTCGTATTGCATGTATGATATTATAATACAGTGTCTTAACCGAGTGGTAGATTTGGGTACTTATATTTAAGAAATAACAGCTTACAAATGACAAGGATTTTTTATCACAAAAATTATAAGCACACAAAAGTTAAATGCATTTTTTTTACATTCAGAGTTTTCCTTGAAATGTGCAGTAGTTACTTGATAAATTATAATATAATATATAATATTGCAAAATATGGATTCCGTGACAGTTCATCACGCGAAAGATCGCCGTTTCATCCAGCATGCTCCCTAATCTCTAAGTATTTTTTCGTAACTATCGTTATAATCATAATATACACTATACCACGTCGCTCGTTAAAAATAATATGCTTCACACTATCCGAGATTATTCCCCGTTGTAGGTGTAGGTTCTTTAAGTAAGATACTAGGCGTCTAGGCGCATAATACTCATATAATTACTAACAATTATTATGAAAGAAGGTTACAAAATTAAATACTATCTTTAACATTCCATGGCATGTAATTATATTGTCATATCTATAATAACCGTTGATATTGTGATTAATGATTATTCGATAGCACGAATGCATGACGGCAAATTACTTATAAGTTAGAGATTACCTATTCATCGTGTTATAGACGTATTAAATAATTACCGTAAAAAAAGATTTTTTTTATTCATCTCTGTCGTTAACTGTACGATTTATTAATCAATTAGGTACCTATATATTCTAAGTAAGTAAATATAATTATACAATTATCAATTTATGAATATTTTTTTATCGTCTTCGTCGTCATAATAATTGTACAACCCGTCCACTTCATCTTGACACTTCAATTTTTAAATTTCACTTTAATTTATATTTTACGATTTTTTTAATTGCTAATTTATTTTCAATTTCGATTAAGTTTAAAATGGACTCCACATTGTATTTTGCATTTCAATCGGCATTTTCTGGAGTTCGAATTCGTCATTGTTTTTTTCACTGTATAGTCAATGCGTATAAAGAAGAATTCATCAAGAACCAGATATTCAAACCATAGTAGTTATGGGTGTAGTGCTATTGACAGTTACCACTAACTTACACCAAACGTCACATTCATTATCAAGAAAAGTTTTAAATGTTGCAACAATTTTTAGAAGTAAAAGTTGTTTCTCTAATAATCTAGGTGTGCAATAAGAAAGGATTTTCCGATATTCGCATTTTAAACAAGTGGTCAAACAGAAATCTTCAGATTCAGAGTGGAAATTGAAACTTTTTTCTTATTGTACACTTAAACTGAAATACATTCAAACTGAAGTACACTTATTTACAGTATATATTATATAGGATTGGCCTCAAAATACAATTTTATTGGTCCTATCAATTGGATATATATTGTTACGCCGTGTTTATTTTGAATATTCCAATATTGTAAATACGAAGTGTGTAATACAAATATAATACTCGCATATATCATATTATACACATCCGTTGCATATACATGTTTGCGAAACGAAGAGAGAAGAGATCAAAAGGCAATGTTGTGCCATTTTCTCCCTTAAAGCAGTAACAGA